TTGCGAGATACAAGAGCGCAGGATGCAACGCGCGAAACGTTGCGAGGAAAAGAAATACGATTTCTCAGACTGCTCCTCGGACGCGTTCTACAGCCATTGGAATCCCGTACACGAACTTCAAGGCGAACGAACATCGGGGAATTTAAAGTACGTCGCCCTCCTGTTCCGGGGTTATATTTTCGAGCTCGGCGAGGATCGCACCCGATTTCGCGATACACACGCTGCGAGAGCTTTCTTCCTAATATATAGCCAGCTATCGAATCTCTTGAAACGCCTGGCTTCTACAGGATGTTGCCAAACTTACTGCTGCGGATTATGGTGCAGACTTGGCAATATAACGCGTGACGATGTACGTTGTGATATTAACGTAGCGTAGGGTTATGCGTAGGATACGTGGCGATGTTAATGTGTGGAGGTATTGATATGTGGGGGGTGTGATGCGTTGAGATGTTAATGTGTGGGAGATACGATGTGTAGGGATATTAAATAGTAGGGACGTTAACGGGTAGGGAGCTAACGCGTGGGGATATTAACGCGTGGAGATATTAACGCGTAGGGATATTAACGCGTAGAGATATTAACGCGTAGGGATATTAACGCGTAGAGATATTAACGCGTAGGGATATTAACGCGTAGAGATATTAACGCGTAGGGATATTAACGCGTAGAGATATTAACGCGTAGGGATATTAACGCGTAGAGATATTAACGCGTAGGGATATTAACGCGTAGAGATATTAACGCGTAGGGATATTAACGCGTAGAGATATTAACGCGTAGGGATATTAACGCGTAGAGATATTAACGCGTAGGGATATTAACGCGTAGAGATATTAACGCGTAGGGATATTAACGCGTAGAGATATTAACGCGTAGGGATATTAACGCGTAGAGATATTAACGCGTAGGGATATTAACGCGTAGAGATATTAACGCGTAGGGATATTAACGCGTAGAGATATTAACGCGTAGGGATATTAACGCGTAGAGATAGTAACGCGTAGAGGTATTTACGCGTAGGGATATTAACGCGTAGAGATAGTAACGCGTAGAGGTATTTACGCGTAGGGATATTAACGCGTAGAGATAGTAACGCGTAGAGGTATTTACGCGTAGGGATATTAACGCGTAGAGATAGTAACGCGTAGAGGTATTTACGCGTAGGGATATTAACGCGTAGAGATAGTAACGCGTAGAGGTATTTACGCGTAGGGATATTAACGCGTAGAGATAGTAACGCGTAGAGGTATTTACGCGTAGGGATATTAACGCGTAGAGATAGTAACGCGTAGAGGTATTTACGCGTAGGGATATTAACGCGTAGAGATAGTAACGCGTAGAGGTATTTACGCGTAGGGATATTAACGCGTAGAGATAGTAACGCGTAGAGGTATTTACGCGTAGGGATATTAACGCGTAGAGATAGTAACGCGTAGAGATATTAACGCGTAGGGACATTAACGCGTAGAGATATTAACGCGTAAGGATATTAACGCGTAGAGATATTAACGCGTAGGGATATTAACGCGTAGGGAAGTTACCGCGCAGGGATATTAACGCGCGGGGTATTAACGCGCAGGCGCATTATCGCGTAGATATAATAACGTATAAAGCACACAAATATTACAACGCACGGAAAATTTAACGTATAGCGATATTAACTTCTCTCCACACAACCTCTACAGACACGTAGCAGATAATACAACCCATAGCCATATAATGTAACGATACAACATAACAACATATAATCCTTCATAACAATCCCAAAACAACATCATTAAATAACACATATAATACTACATTCAGTTAAAGCAAATGATTAAAACTCTCCAGAATTTTGATTACGAATGTATAATTATAAAGTGCATTCGAAACGAACAGCAATATACAGTAGTGAGTTATTCATGCAGATACATATAGAGAATGAATTTGCTGGAAAGACAAGCGACACGTTATCCGATGTTGTTTAATAAATTATAAGCAGGGAAACATTATTATGAAGCGCACTGAAAGATGTCAACGTTCACTCATAAAAGAGTGAATTCTCATTAACGTCACACTCGTTCAATCCACTAATTTTCACCGTGCCGGCAACGCGCTGCGACGAGCAACAGCCACGTTAAATAATCCAATCGATAATCGACTAATAATAAATTTGTACCAGCTACAGCCCCTAATGAGACGGCACGGCGCTTCCTTTAAATTATGCACTATGATAGAGCACCGGTGACGTGTCAGAATGAAACACACCAGAAATACCTCTATCAGAGGATGCGATAACGTACTGGGTGTTAATAAAATATCGGATGTTAAATTTGCATTTATTGATCGTCACTTTTGACGTTTGTCGATTGTTTCATTTTCTCCAGGTATTTCTCGAAATTTGGGAAAGAATCATTATTGTTACGAATGCTGTTTTTAACTTTTCAGGGAACATAAGTATACTTTTAACTCTATACTTTTTAATTGTATAAAGACTTCTATTTTGAAAGAGATATGTCTTGATATTACAGAATCAAGAAGGTTGTTTCAAACAAGAATTAAAATTTAGTAATCTCAAAGTTGAACAATGTTTTATAAAGTTGAACTCAAAAACTGTTTCAATGATAAAAAAAATAAAATGACATGATTAGCTGTTCAAATAAAGAGCTGCAGCAAATTCAAACTTTGAGGATATTTTTGCAAGAACGAACGGATTAAAAAGGTAATACGTATCTCCGATAGGAAAGTACGTCATTACGAAGTCCGTATTCCAAAAACGTATCACTCTTCTGCAGCTCTCGTAAATCTGGCTGATACCGAGAGCAAAGCTTTGGCGTTTCATTCAACGAATGTTAATTCATCAGCACCCAGTGTAGAAACGTCGCGTTAGTCATCCGAGCATCGACGTCGACGAGGCCCCGTCGATCGTCTGTTTTCCATCTCGCCAGTAATTCGGTCCTTTGTAAGCTGGTCATCAGATTATTAACTATCATCCGAAGGTAAATGTACCGTGGACGTGGAGCAGACGGTCGATAATTCATGCGCGATGAAGTTGCTCGCGCTCGAAAAGGATTAATTCGGGCATGCCGGGCATCGTGGACCTCGGCGACGGCCTCTTCGGGTCCATTGTAGTCTTTTTAACCACCCTTCCATCAACCCCGTGAGCGTCAAACTCCAACGTATTTATAAAGTTTCCGTCGTTCGGAGGGGGTGGCAGGGTTGAGTGGCCGCGTCGGAAGATTCGAGGAAGACTATTGAAAGGCACGATGAAAACTTCTTAATTCCGGCACAGGCCTGCTCCAGTTTTCTCAGACTTGCTGGACGAGTCGGTTCTTTCATGAGAAACGCTTGTGTATACAGGCCCGAGTTATTACCGGGAAAAGAAAAGAACTTCTGCTTCATACTGAACCGGCTATTAACCCTTTCAGCTTGGAAATATTTTCACGGCGCTCCCACGAGAATCATATCGATGTCTATCGTTTCAAAGTGTTCCGCCAATTTTAGGACCAAATTATTTTCACGAAAAATAATTTCAGATACAAGAAAATATTCTTTAACAAATTAGATATAAAACTGTTTAGAATTTTTAAATCGAAAGTACGAGTACAATAAAACACAGAAAAAAAATATGGAAGCAATATAAAAACTCAGATAAAACAAAGGAAATATAATTTACTATAAAAGAACTGATTAATCAAGATCTTCTTTCAAGATTTCGTACCCAGTTAACCTTAATAGTCAGAGCTCGTTAATTTCTCGACAGACACATTCGCAGAACTTTCCCTTTGTAAAACTTATCGTTTTCATAACTCATCCAGTACAAAGAGGGTGGTTCATACTAGGGGTTGACCGACCAATGAAAATATGTCCCTGTTACGAGAGGATTAGCGAGGATTAGCTGGAAGATTTAGAATGGTCTCGTGCTCCGTGCTCGCTAAACGTCTAATCCGAAAATATGATCGTCTTTCTTCGGGATCTCCATCTTAGTATTCCACAGATGTGTCTTTTGATATTGTATTTATTTTTGAATTAATGTTAATTGCATTTTCTTTCTTAGATATGAGCACATGATTCTTTTATTTCTGTCTTCACATCAGTAAAAATAAAAAAGAAATGCTGAAGATAGAAATATGTATCAACCCCTATAATCAAACTAACCACATTATCAACCTAATCTTACAATCTAATACTTTTGTCCACATCTCCAATATTAAACATTTCGTCCAATATTAAAAATAGCAGTAATACTTCGCAAATATTTTAGAAGACATAAATACTATTGTTATAATGGAAAAAGGCACAACTGTTTATTTGCAAGATCAACCACAAACTTCTACCATATGTTGCAGTCGATTTATTATGGAGGACCATGAATTACTTTGAAATTCGAATACATAGAAATACCATGAAAGATAGGTTTCCACTACATAGATTTACCATTAGTTTACGATTCCCATGGGTGCACGAAGGGTTGCGCTATGACACTATGACGCTTATAAGGGCCTGTAACGTGGAGTTGGATAATGTCGGGCTCTATGGAGAGCCACTCTCTCCAAGTTATAATTGTTATATGTTAACCAAGGAAGACAGGTGGGAAAATGAGCATTCTATACAACGCTTTCGTTATCTTTCACTGGCAAAGCATATTGTAATATATTGACCATTACTAGCACCTTATATTAAAAAGTTTGACATTAACGGGGAAACTACGTGAAATACCATGTTGTAATTTCAAGGAAACTTTGTGGACAGAGAAAGTTTGATGTTCATTAATATAGAATGTCGATGTACTAGCTAATTAATGCTCTAAAACCGATTTTATTTTGTTTTATAAACATCAGCCTCCTGTAATCCCACAGTCCATAGTAATAAAAAATGATAAATATTGGAATACAATAAATACATCATATTGTTGAAATGAGAAATGTTTTAATACAAAAATATTATCATTGATACAATATATGTAAATTAAAGAGTATTCATTTTTCACAAATAAAAAAATTTATATAAGTGGAATAATGTCATAGAATTGTTTAATTAAAAAATGTATACTACTTCTCCTCTTGTTTTTTATTTAAATTTATATAATACTGTTCTAGTCTTTTTAGCCATTCTTTCCATGCCTCTTGCAATGTATCTTTCTCCAATACGTGAACAGTTGCATCCTTACCATCTGTGTAACCAATAACTACCAACCCCTTGTCGATCTACAAATTCAATTGCAATATTATTTTACATAGGATAACTGTTAGTTATTTTTAAAATGTTATTAAATATTTGTATTTGAAGAAAATGAGGCTTTTGATTTTGATTGATTAGGGGTGCAAACTCTTAATAAATTAGTGGTTGTAAAAGAGATGCACTGTCTAGGATTTTTGGGAATACTACTCAAGTAGTAAGTCCCCTACAAACATGTAATCATTAGTTAGTAAGTTAGCTTTAAGAATTCTTCACTCCTGTATACAACTATTTTAATACCTCCATGGAATTACAATTGTTATATGTATAATAAATTGTAATTAAACAGAAAATAAATTTCAAACTTCAAAATGTAATAATAGTTACCGGGGATGGATACTGCTGGGAAGCATTTATAGCACCTATATATGCAGCAAGTTGTACAGGTGCATCATAAGTCTCTCTCAATTTCGTTTTTGGTTTCTTTGACGTTTTCCAGTCAATTACACATACATCATTTCTAAACAAATGTAAAATACATAACTTTAGAATGGTACCAATGGTAAATAATATTTCTCTACTGACGATAAAGCAAATCTCTATTATACCCATAACAAGCAATACAGTCTACAATTCCCCTGTATCTCAACATTGGATGTGTCACAGGAGTCTCAGTTGCTTCAACAGATGTTATATTTTTCAACACTGGTTTTACACTAGAATATGCTAATTCGATTTTAGGAGAAACTTCCACTTCTTCATTACCCTGCAAAATACTTTCTATGCACGAGTGAAATAATTTACCATCGCTCAATAAGCCTAAAAGTAAATAGTGATGGATACATAAGAAATTAACTGTCTGCTTTACTCAAATCCTGTACCTGCAGAAAATTCTTTAAAATACTCTTCTCCAAACTCATCAATAATACCCTTCTTCCATATCTCTAGAGCCTTTCTTGCATGGAAAGGCATAGTCTGATTAAGAATATGCGTTACACTTGGAACTTTCAAATTCTTATCAGTTCCTTCATAAAATATTCCATAATCATCTGGTATTGCAGAACCAAGAATAGGGAACGATTGAAAATCTTCTTTTATCTTAAATAATTTATTTGCTTGCAATTTCAGAAGTTTTTTATTTTGCTTGCTACCCTGTGCATTGGTCTCTTCAAGCAAAGGACAATCAACATTATCGTTAGATTCTGATGTTACTTTATTAGACCCTGATTCATGATGTACGCTAGTCTATAATAAAGTTACATTTACATTTAATACTTATATAACAAAATTTCAAGTTACTTTTAAAACATTCTTTTTTATACTCTTACATATAAGAATTTAACATCATGTTTACACATAAATAAATGTATTGTTTGCTTTCCATTCACTTTGTTAACTTTATCGTAAGCAAATTCTAAATTCCTAATACAAAACTGAAACATGTTCTCTATATTAAATCTACAACAGTGTAATATTATTTGTTATTGTCAGCATTTAAAATTGCAGGTTACGTAATTATTAATTATTTCAAGCCTCATGAAAGTACACTGGAACTCTTCGTATCCCTCACTTATAAGCAAGTCATTAATAACAACAATAAATCTTGTAAACAATTATTAAAGTTATCAAAACACAATTGTGGTTGTTAACATGTCATTCACTGTGACTTTCTCTGTCCTTTATTAGAAATAGCTTGGCGCAGCATCTATGTTCTTCTTGTGAAGCTTGTAACCAGTTTCGAAAGCAGGAGTTAACATTTTTTAATTCTTAAATGAGGCAGTGGGCACATCATCGGACCTACGGAATATATTACAGACAGTATGAAAACGATATTAATAAATATATAATAAATGAATATCATATTAATCAATAAAAACAATATTAATTTTTACAAAAGTCTTCTTACCTTCTGCTGCAAGAGGGTGAGACACGTGGTGTCATCTAGCGGTGGCACGTGGGAACTAATGAAGCTCCTGTTCCAAAAGTGTGTAGTTCACCCTGTTCGCCGGAGAGATGGCGCCACTTGTTCCATTTTCGTGAAACCCCAATTAATATTGTATTTTTAGCTTAATTTACTATAATATGCATCAAATTACATCGGAATACAAATGCAATTAACATATACACGTTTTTAAATCGGTATCTACAATTTTAGTTTCATGGGTAACTGCTCTATCATGCAACAGTATACTACATTGGTTCTCCCCTCTTCCAAAAGGTGGCAACAACAGCATCGTTTTAAGAGCGGCGCGGTAATAATAAAATTGAAATCCATGTAAAAACAAGGTCCACAAATTATTAAATTCCTGAGTTCCTAAAATTCTACATTTGCAAACTGCAAATTTCTATATTTTCCAGATTCTTGAATTTTTCAATTTCAAAATTTCTGAGTCTTACATCCTACATTTTCAAATCTGTTAATTTCTGAAAATTGCTTATTAATTTTTTGTATAGAACACAACTAGCATTAATGAATCCAACGATCCGTTCTGAGACAAATATTTTACTTACGCCAAAAAGCACATAAACAACGATAAAACTGAAATAATTTTTCGCACGTTAAAGTAAAGTCCGAGTAAAAATTTCGCGTAAAAGGTCTCAGAAGACCCGACAGATAACGCTATCTCGCGGGATGCTGAGAAATCTTGCGGCACCGCGAACGGAGCAATGGCGTAGGCGGCGATCCATGTGATAAATTAATTTTTATAGCTTCGTGGGTGGCGGCTGTTTCTATTGGTTGGTGATCGGGCACCTCCCACTTCGAACGACGTTGCCTTCTCCTGGTTTATTCCATTCAACTGTGATACCATGATATACCATTTGTCTCGTTTTAAATGAGCTGGCAGGAGAACGGCAAGGATGGGTGTAATTGAAATACATTCGCGGATCTCTCTCGAACGACGCTTAACAAAGGCGCAGCTTGCACGACGTGATTTTTATTCTGTCGAGCGCCGCTTTCAAAGAGGATTCACCGTAATTGCGCATTATACGCGATCGTTCGCGTTTTACGACGATGAAAACACCGGCACGATTGCATAAGGATCAAGACGATATTTTTCTTCTTTTTTTTCTCTGTTCTTTCGATTAGCTATGCGACTGATGAGACATCTGGATAAATTGCTCATATTTGATTGCTAATTGCGAAAGGTGCATGACAGTGTAATTATTTTATCAGAAAGAACGATGACAGAAAAATTTTCTTTGAAATCGATGATTTTTTAACAACCTTATTTTTGTATATTTTTTTTTAAACCCTATCATTTCTTTATCTCTTTTAATAGTTTGGGATATGAGAATCTAGAGATACTTTGAGGACGTAGGAAGTGAGTACCTATTTATACCAAAGATACGAAAAAGAAGATGAAGCAATTGTTGATCGACTGGCATTTATTTTATAACATTCTCTGTTACGCCTGTCTCGAGACTCCTCTAAATCAATTTCAATGTCCACTTAGCGAAACGAGAAGTGCTAAATACGATTTAAAATTCCTATCGGAAGGTGCTGAGTTGTACGTCGATTGTCTGTAACATGTATGAAAGAGTGACGTTTTTAAGCGTTTAAACAATGGAAGAATTATTGCGTTAGTAAACTGAAAGCTAGGACGGTTTACTTGAATCCGACAAGCCCAGCGTTGAAATCGCTATGCACCTCTTCTACGCGGGCGTTGAAATCTCCCGCGCGGCTCAAGTAACACGTGTCAATAAATGTTCGAAATGTTCCACGATACTAAATAATCGTCCCAAGTAACTAAATCCTTACGTAGACAAAGACTGAGATATTAAGCAAGGATCTGACTTGAAACTTTTACCTGAAACATTCGCATAATATTACAGTAATTTTATTAATACCACTGTAATATTAATTTTAGTATTATTATCGAGCTCTTAATCATACAACAAATCGGTTGAATTGTAAGTTCAGAATAAAAATTATAAAACCTAGTCTTCTTAGACCTTTAGGAAGTTTCTGTAATGAAATTTTTCGTTCAAGAAATAATTTTTTTAAACAACTAATTCTATACATTTCAAACAATTCTACATTTCTAATATCTTCAACTAACTTTTCTACAATCTATCAATTTTATTCTGTATTTTCCAGGGAGTAAACACCGCCTCGTAGTTGCAAGACGGAGGATCCTCGCAAACGTGTAAAATGTCCGATAACGACGGTAGAAACAAGAATTCCTGCGATCGCGATCGCAATCACCGACGGACAAACCACCTAGAAGCCAAGTGGCGAACAGTGCCGGAAAAAAGTTCGGGGTCAATAAAGTATCCTGGTATACGAGTCGGCGGTGCTTTCCCCGATTACGTTTACGAGCCGGTCGACTGCTATAGTTACGCGAATCACCGGATCGCGTTGTATCGTAGCGGGTTTTATAGTGCGCCGCTTTTCCGCACCTGCTTCGACCGCGGGGAAATCGTGGTGTCGAATGGACGGCTCATTAAATATAGATGGTTATCTCGATGGTAATGCCGAGGCCGGGCCCCGGGAAAACGTACTCCGGGAACTTTATGAACCGTCGATTACGTTACAAAGGTTAGAAAACGCTGTGGAAAGTTTATAATTTTCCTGTAGACGTTTTCTTTGGTCTCTTGGGAAAACGGTTAGGTTAGATCAATGGTTAGCTGTCAGATTTGTCAGTCGGGTGAGTCGGACTGTTTGTTCGGAGAAGGGTGTAAATTGTAGCTGTTGAGGATGGAGTTTATTTCTTCAGGAGGAACATTTGATACTTGATCGTTTAATATAAATTCTTGAATGTTGCGTCTGAAGAATTTATTGAGGAGCTGGGTGTACTTGAGTGGTACCTCCATCGAGATCAAAGAGTCACATATCGATGATAAAATTTTCTTCCTTAAAATTATTTGTATGTACGAAGTTTCTGTGAAAAGATGAACGATACTTTAAGTACGAGCAAACCACTCATTAAGTGAAGCACTTATTGCTTGAGGTGATCGCCATACAAGAAGTCTTCTGGAAGAAATACGAAAGAGTCAAAGTCAAAGAGTGATGTATCTACTGCGACTCGTATAAAATTAGAGTACCGCAGTATATGATCGTAGTATCGCGAGACTTCTCGTGCGACGCGGGAGAAGAGCGTTGGTATCAGCACCGAGCATTACGCTCCAAGTATCGAATCGGTCTCGGGACACGCATACGCTCGAGAACCGCTCTCCTGGTCTCGCGCTCAGCATCCGTCTGGTCCGCGGAGAGAGATCGACAAGATCAGAAGCAGAAGGAGAAGCGAAGGTGGAGGTAGGAACAAGAGAACAACAGAAGAACCGTGGAGGGAAGAAACGGCGAGGAAAGAAGCATCCAGCGGAGGAGGAAGAGGAAGAAGAAGAAGAAGAGTCTCCTTCTCGGAGAGGTTGGCAGTGGGGAGAGGAGAGAGAACGAGAGAAGGCCGCGGTAGTCTTTCTCGGTCGAGCAGGTAAGATAAGGACGAGGCGGACAAACGGACTGACGAAGGTGGCCGAAGTAGGGGATATTCAGTCTCGCGGCCACGTGCTACACGAGCGCACGCCCCGAGCCGGCCGGTGGTCCATCCACGACTCCGTCCTCTTCTTCTTCGTCCCGTTTTGTCCCGCGTTTCCTCCTTCTCTCCCTTCCATTCTTCTTTCGTACACCCTCAACCCGTGTTTCTCTTCTTTCGATTCTCCATTTTTATCGCGTTCCGCCTCTCCTCTCCGTCGACGAGGGGCCGGCTTCCGAGTCCGCTCGTCGAGGACACGAGCG